TGAAGATAAATTGCAGCTTTTTAGCTGGAGCATATTTTTTTTACAGTGCACTTTTAAGAGTGTATCCGCGAGAAGACCATGCAAAAATCGCAAAAAGTGCTAAGATGGGGGGTCGGAAGTTTTTGATCAAACTTATGGTATGACACCCCCTAGGGGCAAGAGGTAACATGCTGAAGTGGTTACAGTCTGATGTCGCTCTAAAGGACTGTACAGGAATTATTCATTTTATGGGTAAAATTGCGGTTTTCACATGTGTATTTATCACCTTTTTTAAGCACAGACTGCATTCTATGGTGGAATAGCAACCTTCTAATTTTGACCCTGTCTGATAAAGCGGGTGGTCAACTTCTACCCCAGCACTCATTTGAAAAATAAAATTCAGTACATACTAATTTTGTGTGGACTTGTTTTAGGGTACCATATTCACATTGTCCTTATAGTGCAGAAAAAGATACACTGTAACTTTTTCTTTCATGGTCGCAAGTAGAATTTATTTGGATGGTTTTGAAGTGCTAAGCACATAATATCCATAGGTGTAAAAAAAATGACCGGAATGCAACATACTTAAAATATACAGCTTATTGAAAAGTGCTAAAAAAAGCTTTTGTGATACATTATTTTGCGAATTTAATTAGAGAAATACATTTTTTGACTTTTATATGTTTTCATCATATCCATAGCCATTATTTGTACCATGTTGTACTCTATATAAGTGTGTATTTGTATTTATTGTATATTTGGTATTGTCGTATTGTCCCTTTAACTTATTTGTTGTATTGTCTCTTTAAGATTTCATTTTCAAACAAGTTACCGAAAATGGCTACAAAATGTTTAATTTCAGAGCATGTTTCCAGTATTCATTTTGGGACACATCCACTGATTTCTACAATACAGAAATGTGGAAGCTTAAATATTAACGGCAACGAAGCCTAATTGCGTCGAAGTGGGTGACATTGAACAGTGTGGTATGGTAGCTACAGCTCTCGGGCACCGTCAGCTGTAACTTCAGGGCCGGATTTAGAATAAGAGAGGCCCTAGGCAAAACCCTTGAACAGGGCCCACGACATGGACCTTGAGGCCCTGGGACAAGCAACTCGGTGAGAGGGTGGGTCGGGGGAAGTCATGCGGTTGGTGGTTCGAATCTCACTTTTCATTTTCGTTGAATTATTTTATTTAAAATAATGTCTATTTGAGAGTAATGGATATGTTTGTTAAGATTGAGCTCGTCGAAACTCCAATGGAAGGTCGTGGACAACTGCAGAAGTCAATTCCCGTTGACGCCAGATGAGCCATGAACGATTACAGGCCTTTGAAAGTATTTTTTTTTTCAAGATATTTTTATAGAACAGATACTAATGTATTTTAGGGCTGGTAGTAAACACCATATGAATGAAAAGGAAAATAAATTGTTAGGTTTTTTTATCTACTACGGTTAATTATCTCCAAAATAGGGAAATTACAGGTTAATTTCATGGGTTATTGTTTCCTTTACCTAGTTTTTGTCAAGTCAATTTCGGTCATTTTTATTTTTTGTATCAAATGTTGGGAAGTTGCTTGTTCACGTGAGCATAAAGTTTTTAAACCCACCCCATGAAAGAAGTAGCTATAGGGCGTCAAACTTTGGGTGACGAAAAATGGGGAATTTAGACAGGCTTTGATATCCAGTCCGTATACAGATCTCGTTCGCCAGAATCGTCTGAAGTTAATATTGTGGTAACAGCACTGCGTCATCGATAAACTGTGTGAGTTTGGTCTTTCTGCTACGTATAGTAAAGGTGTAAGGACTTGCCAAAGTTGGTATTTGAGAAAAGACAGATTTTGGCAATTTCACCATATGAAAAATGTTTTTTCAATTTTCTCATACAGGAATTGAAAGATTTATCTAATATTGCACATTTATGTGTTTTGGGACTATCCCAACTTATAAACCAAATTTGGTAAAAATCTGTGATTGAAGCCTTAGCACCTCCTGCATGGTTTTCTCGCGGACACGCTCTTAATACATATCTTGGGCTTTTGTATCTGACTTTGCCTTTAGGTTTTAGTATGTTGAAATACTGACAATTTATTATCTGCTTATCTAGCATCATGACCCATTTTATTTATTATTTTACATCTAACATGTTGTGTTTTAAATCCATTGGATTTCCATTATCTATTTATAGCTTGTATACTATCCTCCTTGATGAATGAGATACTATATTTAGGCCCGAAGACAGTCTATTTATAGTTTGTATGACTGAGATAATAGGCCTGAAGAGAGTCGTTGTAACATAATAACTTTTTTTATATTATTTATTATAATCCTTTATGTGATATACAAAATATTGGCCCGAAGAAATTCTCTATAAAGTGAAAACGTTACCCAGAAAACCTATCTTTTATCTTCTTCTTCATTACATTCACGGTGTCATACTTGTTAATTTGATACCACACATGGGTTATTTCCATACAAATACGTACAGGGAGAGAAAGAGAGGAATGGGGTTTAACTTCCACGCACAACAAACTAGGTCATTTCGGGACTAACATACGGTTCAATTTTATCTCAATAATTCGCTTGAGCGTAGGGGTTTTTAGCTGTGGGAGGAAACCGGGGGACCCGGTGAAAACTCACGAGGCTGGACAGGCGACCCTACTCCTTGTCATGTACAACCGGGGATTCGAAACCACACCACTTGACTCAATGACAGGCCTTATGATACAGCGCGCACGTGCTAACCATTCGGCCATCCAACCCGCCCAAAAACGAACAAATAACGGAAAAAATAAGGAATACCCAATATGTAATATAAAAATTTAACAACAATGCCCCAAAAAGTATATTTTGTATATCAGCATAAAAGTACCTTCTTTGGGCTAATGTTCAAAATAAGATCTGTCCATTCCGTTATATTGTAAAACTGCTCATTACCAACTATGTCCTTGAAAATCGCCTTTCAAAATACCAGTGCTCTCTCTCTCTCTCTCTCTCTCTCTCTCTCATACTAAATTTTATTTTTTGGCTAAGGGATTTCAAGGTGGTCAGAGGGGTCCATCATTCTCGGATATCCAACTAATAACTAATAAATCCAAAAATATCAGCATTTTTACTTGTAGTTGGATGTTTTTGTTACTGCCATAGATTAATAGTGGCTCATGGTTGTGTAACCATATCAAAAAAGAAATTGTCGATCTATTACTCAACGGGTGTGTAGCCTAAATTGAATAACATGACGTGTGATCCTACAGATGTTGTCGGATACTGGGCTTGTATTAGATCAGTAGAGTGATGAAATCAAGACCTTAGTTAGATACACACACATGCCCACTTGAATTAACGCAATCGTACGTTCCGGTCTACAGGTGTCAACCATGGAAATAGTTTCGTCTGCCACAGAACTATGAGTTGTACTGACTCCAGTGTCGTCTGTCACAGAACTATAGGAGTTAGTACTGACCATAGTATCGTCTGCCACAGAACTATAGGAGTTAGTACTGACCATAGTGTCGTCTTTCACATTCTACACCTCCTGTCTGTACCATAAGTTGTTTTTTGGTATATGAGACAAATGGGTAGCAGTAATGGCTTACTAATTGGGAAGTCTTGGGTTAGCAACCGATTGGCCGAGAAAGTTCCTCGAGATTTTCCAGGGTGGCTCCCCTTGCTAGTGGTACAGCATATAGTGTCTGGGTTCCCCCTTGCTAGTGGCACAGCATATAGTGTCTAGCAAGGAACAACGTATAGTCGTTCAGATGATGACACACACAACCTTTCAACTCTTTACAAGAACTTAACTTATGACTTTAAGGTTTATTTGCTGATGAAATTGACAATGAAATGATTATTGAGTTATTATGGATAGTACAGATATAGATATAAATTGATAATTCAGGATACGATCCAAGATAAGCTCCATGTGTGTTGATATCATTCATTTCTTATCTGATATGACTATCGATTCGTTGGACATTAAAGCAGCTAAACCATGAAAAATCACAAATTTAAAATCAGTTTTCTTGATGGCCTCGGACATTATTTGTACGAGGGACCTTGATGAACGAGACAGAACGACAGTGTAGATACCATGACGTGAAGTACTTCCCATATAGAATAGATAAGCCAGGCACAGACGAATCAATTTGGACTGTACACCGAACATAATTGATTAGAAATTACAATAATTGTTTTTTAGAATTTAAATTTGACACCACTGTATATTTAATCCTGTTACATTAATATATGATTGTCGACTCATTTTAGTCCCTTTTAGGTTCCCAAGAATAGAGATGTAGCTCCTTTAAATGCAGTTTTTAATTTCACGTCCACGATATCACTCAAATGTTAAATTCGGTCAATGTCACCATTTTACAAACACTTGGTAACAACTGAGTATGTTACAGTAGAAGAATGGACTTGTTTCCACTCCACCATTATTAATTCAATCCATTAGTAAGTGTGTTATTCTCTTATTACTTATATTATGTTGTTAATTATTGAATTTGATAGATAAGTCATAGAATAACTTGGTTAAACGACCGACAGGTACAGTAAACAGAACGGATCTGAAATATATGTGTACTAACCATTGTAATGATGCTTTTTACATCAGCAGGTGCGGACTGGGTCATCGACTCTGATCTGATCGTAAATATCACACCACATAAAATTCATCATCAAAGGTATCATCACCTAAATCCGAGGAAAGAAATCTATTACTGATCGACCATTCGTATCCTTCTTCGCCATGTGGTCCAATGAAACCCGTTGGTCCGTGGTCCAGAGCATCATTATCTTCATTCTTGTTTTACTTGAATTTCACGACACTCGTTAGGTTCTTAACGTGTTACAGATGATGTCCCACGAGAAGTTCTATCCCAATTAATTTACAAATCAAAATCGTCTTTCGGTTCATCGAAAGTGTTTATTCGAAAACCCTTCATAAAATCCTTTTTTTTTTAATCTGAAGGGCCATATGGCTGATAGACAACGGGGCTGATTGGTATCGGAAGGTAAAACTATGGATAAAGAGGCCGCCATACAGAATGGTGCCCTGTTGGAATCACCCGTGAGTGCTGGTGGCGAGATAACGAATGGTGAAACGAAAAGAAAATCTGTACGAGAGAGCTTGAGACATGCAGCATACAGATCAAAATTTATCCAGAGTATCTCGGTTTCTTTTGCTTTCTGGTGTTTAGTAAGTTATATTAATCTTTATTTAATACGAGATGTTACATTTCAATATAATACAAACCGATGAGCTGCTAGTCCATCGTAACTACCAACTTTAATAAAGTTCTATACATAAATTACTCGATATACTCTCTACATACCCTAGTCATTCTGTCGCAAGTTTTAAACTGATAGCTGTAGGACACTTGATAAAACTGCTTAGTTTTTTGTAAATTACAGAATTCATGTTTACGTTTGTATTTGTAACTTATATTCTTGACATCCTCAAAGTTACCTATATAATTGTTAATGGTGTGGGTATTGAGAATATGAACTTAAGATAATTTCGGTGCCACCAGATTTGATTCGGGTTGAGGTAGATGCTTGACGAATTTGTACTGTTGATACGTTGCCAGATATCTTCTTAAAAAGGCGGGAATAACTTCAGGTGTGTTCTGTTATTTGATTTAAACAATGTTGCATTAGGATAATCTGGTAAACTGGACTTGACAGAAATACAATTTAACGTGCTACTGTAAACATAGAATGACTGGACCCCCTTATCTCTATGGGTAGCTGTGTTATGGAGTTCTAGAACTTGCTTCATTCTGGTTTCAAAGTTAAATGTAAATAAATTTAATATTTACGATGTTGGTCGTCTGTAGAAATTGTCGTCTCCCTCTCTCTTTCTTTCTCTCTCTCTCTCACACACACACACACACACACACACACACTATATTTTATTTTTGGTTTAGGGTTTTCAAGGTGGTCAGAGAGGTCCATCATTCTTGGATATCCAACTAATAACTAACACCAATGTTGAGAAAGCTTCCACTTTTTTTACTGCTGCTTCTGTAGGCTACTTGAGTGGTTCTTTAATCAGTGGCATCCTGTATGACAGATTTAACAAGACGCTTCTACTGGGACTGTGTGTAATCCTCATGGCAATCACGGTCGCTGTATTACCCCTTTGTTCACCATATGGTTTGATGCTGGTTATCTTCTGGTCTAATTCATTTTTTATGGGCGGATTGGATGCAGGTAGGGATGAGATAATTTAATCAAACACCGGAAATCATATTTAAATTACGTTAAGCGTCTTATTGTCAGCCTGGAAATTGGTGTCAAATATTACTTTGATATCGAGTCTAGTGAAATACTGGTGAATATTGTCAATACCTAGGACGTCTCTTTATGGGCACTCTTCAGATATCATTTTATTAACTTGTAAATTATACACAGTGTTGATGAAGAAGTCTATTGACTTTCATTTATTTCTTTGTTTCGGGGTCTTAATGTTCATGTGATGAAGACTCCTATTGATTTTGAACAGTGTCTGAAATTGTATGGTATTTCCCCTGGAGTTATGACCCTTTTTGCCGGTACATATTTTCATAATATTTATATTACAGAAAGCGTATCACATTGTAATTCTTTCAGAATGGTCAAGCTTCGTTTTTTTTGGAAATGTTACAGTTACCTACAAAAAATGGACAGATGCTAGAACGTTTATAGCAATCTCAGTGTATATCCAGAAACCATGGATATAGGGGGCGCACGGAAGGCGCGCAGCACACAAGTGTGGGAGGGTGGGGGTGTCCGGGCTGCATCCCCCGGACATTTTCGAAAACCAGAATCCCAGTGATCTGAGACTAAAATCCGTTTCTATTATAATAAATTATAATCCTGATGGGAGGGGAGTGGTGGTGATCGAGGCTATTTACAGATACACCAAATTGTTCGTGACTACATGTATTTAATATTTTTACAGGTGGAAACGCCCATCTGGTTTCAATATGGGGAGAAGACGAGGGGAGACCATACATGCAGGCCGCTCACTTTGCATTCGCTTTCGGAGGAGTTATCTCCCCTTTAGTAACAGCTCCATTCCTTGTACCGAACACTGAAGAGACATCAACCAACTCCTCGTCAACAACATTTACAGAAGTAACGACCATGCCTTCTACTGTTGTACTGAATACTACACTATTAGATTATAACATCACCAATGATAACTCAACTCTAGGTAATAATATCACCACCATTGCTGAACCTGTTGAAACTAAATTAATCTATGCTTATATAATATCTGGTATTGTTACCTTACTATCCGCCATTCCTTTCATGGTGATATATTGTCGTTACAAGTCACAGAAGATTAAGAGGAATGAGCCTAAGAAGGATGAGAACAGACCGATCAGAGATCTTCCTTGGAAATATTATATACTAGCTATTGTTCTTTTAAATGTCTTCTATGTCGCCTATTGTGTCGTGGAGAACTCCTTTGCAGCTTACCTAATGACTTTTGTGGTAATGGAACTTAAATGGAGCAAGGCCAAAGGTACTCAAATTACATCCGCATTTTGGGCGGCTTTTGCTGTTTCGAGATTTTCAGGAATTTTTATCATACGTTGTTTACGACCAGTTGTAATGTTGTTTATATGTATAGCAGGTTTAATTATAAGCTTCTCTGGTTTTCTACTCTGTTCGCATTACAAGATACACACAGGAGTTTGGATTTGCACCGTTTTAGTCGGATTTTCAATGTCTGTTGTATTTCCTACAGGGTTCACCTGGGGACACGAAAATCTCCTCAACATAACAGGCAAAGTCGCATCATTAATTTTAGTGGCCGCATCAGCCGGCACCGTGATCAATCCTGTTATTATTGGGTATTTGATGGAAGAGTTAACTCCCATGTGGTACTGTTATTTATTAGTCGGTGAAAGTATTTTATGTCTTGCTATATTTGTAGTTTTGTTATTTGTGGCTAAATTTGTTTTAGTACACAAACGTATCATCACAACTACCACAATAGAAGTCGGGTCACCGCAAGCAGAATCTATTAACAATGGCACACATTTCATACCAAATATTATATCATCTGAATTGTGAAATTCCGTATTAAATAATTTTAGTAAGTGTTTGGTTATGACTTAATAAACCTCGAATTACAGATAAGGAAGGTTTATTATTAAATATATTTTGGATCATATGGAACCCTAAGAGGTTTTGTTTGTCTTGTCGTGAGTATTAATAGTTTTGGCTTTATCTGGGGACGAAATTTTCCTTCCTGCTGAATGGACAATGAAAGGAAAGAAGTATACGATTTTTACGAGATTTAAACTATTTTTGTTATCACTCGAAAACATATTAGCAGTCAATTTGAATTACAATGTAATTATTCACCTCGATGTGATATTTCCAACAGCTGCAGACCCTCGGACCAGCTTAACGGACAGTGAAAGGAAGGGAGTTGAGGGTAATATTTAACACATTTCCTCCCACTGCTAAAGACCCCTACGCGCAAGCGAATTATTGAAATAAAATTAAACCATATGTTAGTCCCGAAATGACCTAGTTTGTGTCGAGTGGACGTTAAACCCCATTTCTCTCTTTATAAAAGTGTGTGTGCGTATGTGTGTATGTTGGCCCATCACGCTTCGTCGCCATCCCATTATGTGGTATCAAATTAACAAGCATGTACCCGTGAATGCTGTAGGCGATCATTTAGGAGGTCAGGATCATTTATTACTTTTTAACACAGCAAAACATCGTCAGTGTTGAACTGTTTTACTGCAATTAATGGTTAACGGGAGGTAAGTCTGTTTATTATGCTAATTAACTTTAATAATAGTAACGGATGATTTAAGCTAATATTACTTAAAATCATTTAGATATTTAAACGGTAACCAGTGTAAATTAAAGGCGTTATGTGATCACATTTCTTAGTTAAAGTAACAAGTCTAGCTGCAGTATTCTGTACTTGTAATTTATCTATGAGCTTTATCATTATTCAATTTTAGGAAGTTCTTTGGCATCCCTTTTCTTATTTTACTAATACAGTTCGCAAGTCGCAGTTTTGATAAATTGAAAAAAAGATTTACAATTAGGTGTAAAGGGGTATCATCTGCATACAAACGAAAGCTTAGTTTCTGACCATATCATCTAATGGTGACACATAAAGCGTAAATAAAATCGGATCAAGAACAGAACCTTGAGGAACCCCAGATGATAAAGTAGATTCAGACGACACTTAACTAAAATACATTGTTTTCTACCCACAAGATTGCGTTCTAAAGCTAAAGTGCAAAGACACTAATACCGAATTTAAAATAAAGTATACGAAAAAGAATGAGGAATCCGTCGTGCCGAAAGTTGGAATAGTTGCTCGCATTTGTTAAGATCAATGGCATGACATTGGGTCATAAATTACAGTCTTTATGCACCGGTCAATAGGAATCTTGAACTACCCCCCCCCCCTCAAGCGTTCACCCCGGATTGTCATTTAGCTCAATATTTTAGGGTCAAGATTCACCCGGCAATGCACTTGAAGTAAAGACACATTCACTGAAGATTCACTTTCTAACGCAGGTCCAAAAATAAACATTAGTTCAAGATTCACGCAATAGTCATCTTGAACTACCTACCCCAAGCATTCACCCTTACTTTTAAGTTGCAAAGAATAAAAAAATTAAAAGATTTTCGTAGAAATATGATTTAGCTATAAAATGCCTCTGCCCGAAAAAAGTCGGATGGTATTTTACCTTTGAAAATTTATCGTCCTTTTTTACCAGCATTTTAAAAATATTTTTTACGAACCGATCTTTTTCGCCATTCCGGCAAAGAAAGTTTTTAGTTCAATTATTTATCTGTTTAAAAAAAAATTGTGTTGATATCTTTAAAAGATCATGTGAATATGGCACTTTTAAAAACACATATAAAAAAGCTACGCCCCCAAAAATCCGGGCCGTAAATTTGTGTTCAACTCGAAATATTATTAATTTAGGACAATCTCCTAATACAATAAGTTATACCACCAGAAAGCTGATCCAATTCTGCTTTTAACGATATAAAATTTACATGTGTTTATTTTAAACAGAAAGATCATTAAATGAGAAAAGCGTGCAAGGGTATGCACGTTTAGGCTGTTTTAGACACATTAAAGTCACGTGACTGAACACCCTACTATAAAAATACTTTTTTTAATATTATATTTTTATTTTAACTTATATTTGCAAATTTCATAAAAATGGCAAAACGGTACATCAACGGCTTGAACTAACTTACATTGAGCATGGTCCGTAAGGCGTAAGTTGAGACCAGATTATCTTGTCATTCATTATACTAGACATACGTGCAAGCCCAGACCTGGACAATGGAGTCTATATCAACCGGACACACAATCAACACATCCAGCAAATTTATGTACAAATAAAATAGCTTAGTTTGTCAATCGCTTCTTTCAATAAGCCGTAATCCGCTAATCAACTTAAGATTTCCCAAATCAAAACTTTAAGAGGTGAAATTTTACGATGTTGGCCACTGTGACGTTTACATCATTGAGTATTAATACCCCTAGTAATGAAAGACCCGGGCCGTTACCAGCCTAGGATAATGTCACTGTCAGTAATGAGCGGCAATACTATATACCGGAAAACACCGGAAAACACCATTTTATACTGAATACCGGAAAACACCGGAAAAACACTAAATACCGGAAAACACCCTAAATAGGTAACCCGGAGCCTGGTCCTCTGTGAGCGGTTTTGGACCAAGTCAGCGCCGATGACGGAAGGTCAAGGTCATTTCGATGTTCGTTTTACAAATAGCCCCCCCCCCCCCCCAAAAAAAAAAAAAAATTCCGATTTTTTTTTCTCCAAAATTTTTTTGACGAAATAAATTTTCTGTCACAACAAAAAATTAGAATTTTTCCTAAAAATTGGTTTTACAAAAAAACATTCCGTAGAAAATAATTTTACAGAGAAAAAATACTGGAAAAAAAATTTGAATTTTTTTTTGAGAGAAATTTGGGAGAAGAAATTGTTAAAAAAAATCTGAAAATAAATTTTTCTTTGACCGTAGGCGATCGCTCGCTTGTAAGTTAATGAACTTATTTCATCAGCGCTCACCTGGTCCAAAACCAAAACCACACTCGAGGACCAAACCCCGTGTTACTAAATAGCTACCGGAAAACTTAGAAGAGTAAACTATGCCCGAGATTTTTTTTAGAGAGCGCGCCGCGCCGCTCCGGGGGGGATCATCGCCAGGGTGGGACGGGGGTGGAATTGTCCAGTCACGTGACGAACATAGATCTTCCGTTCCTCAACCCATATTATTTCCACAGTCATTGTCATTAATCACAAATTACGGGATGATATACGAAAATGCAGGTTTACTTTGAAATAGTGCAAATGATACTTTTCCATCTACAATCTTCAGATCAAAGGATGCAAGTTCTTACACAGTGCAGCATAATTTGTGCAACAGAAGAAATCTCGAATATCGATTGTCTGAAAAAACATTTTCTCGGGGACACTTTTTTCCGAATACGCATTCGATGTAAGTCTTCAGCCACCAGGAAGTGGTTAACATAGTAATGTTTTATTACGATAGTAGTACATAAAACAAATTGGTTGCCTGAGGTTCTCGGGGGGGGGGGGGAAGTAGCCTCATCGGCTAGAGTCCTCTATTTCACAAACAAAAACAACAATTGCTTCCTTGAAAATTTATCGATCAACCCTTTTCACAGACGTCCAGCTTACCACTTCCCGTCAATGCAGTAAGATAGAATATGTAGTTTTTTCATGGACAATTGGGCGAAAGTTGGGGTTTTCTCAAGGAAAACTGGTCAACAAGTTGGGGAAAAAAGCTCGAAAAGTAATCCAGAAAAAAATCCTGTATGCGGCCCTCGGAATATGATGGAATATATTGAATATTATTATGGTTTAAGTGATTATATTTGACCCTGGAATGACAGTAAGCTCAGAAACAAGTAGATTGTTAGCCCTTCCAACGAGATGGAAAGCTCTTGGACAGGATAGACACTTTTCAGATTACAGCCTGTCCGAGAATTGCGTGGCATCCATTTCGTTTAGTGATTAGGACACATAGCGGTTAAACCTGGAACTTCAACTCGAACTATTCAGATATTTATTAACTCGCTTTTGATGATACTTGCTGTTTTATGATGCGATTTTTTGTTACCTAGAGAGGAGTTGGCCTAGCCGTGCCTTCCACTAATTCGTACCACCCCGATGCCAGCGTTACTGGTAAGAATCAGGAGACCGGCGCAACCAGCATATAATGGGGCCCTCCGAGGGCAGTGTTTAATCTACTGAAATACTGAAATACTGAAATCTACTGAAATTTACTGAAAACTAAAATTAAAATACAAAATAAAATATGGTCAATGATGGAGGTAGACTGATTGCGTCTTTTAAAACATTCAAAACATAATAGGCATCAACAAAATTTTGGAGAGAAAAAATCTTTTTTTTTGGGGGGGGGGGCTATTTGTAAAACGAACATCGTAATGACCTTGACCTTCCTTCATCGGCACTCTCTTGGTCCAAAACCGCACACAGAGGACCCAGGCTCCGGGTTACCCGGTGTTTTCCGGTTGTTTCCCGGTGTTTTCCGGTATATAGTATGGCCCAGTAATGACCTGAAACTTCGCATTTTTAAAGTTGAGCTAAAAAACATGCGATGATACAAAATGATGATGCTTGGGGGGTTGATGAGGGTGGTAAACTTTACTTCATTTTTGTAATGATGATAATTATGCGGAAAATTGACATAAATCAATCGAGAAGAAAAAAACTTACCGCCAAATCATACACCGGAAAAACACTAAATACCGGAAAACACCCTAAATAGGTAACCCGGAGCCTGGTCCTCTGTGAGCGGTTTTGGTCCAAGTCAGCGCCGATGACGGAAGGTCAAGGTCATTTCGATGTTCGTTTTACAAATAGCCCCCCCCCCCCCAAAAAAAAAAAAAAATTCCGATTTTTTTTTCTCCAAAATTTTTTTGACGAAATAAATTTTCTGTCACAACAAAAATTTAGAATTTTTCCTAAAAATTGGTTTTACAAAAAAAACATTCCGTAGAAAATAATTTTACAGAGAAAAAATACTGGAAAAAAATTTGAATTTTTTTTTGAGAGAAATTTGGGAGAAGAAATTGTTAAAAAAAATCTGAAAAGAAATTTTTCTTTGACCGTAGGCGATCGCTCGCTTGTAAGTTAATGAACTTATTTCATCAGCGCTCACCTGGTCCAAAACCAAAACCACACACGAGGACCAAACCCCGGGTTACTAAATAGCTACCGGAAAACTTAGAAGAGTAAACTATGCCCGAGATTTTTTTTAGAGAGCGCGCCGCGCCGCTCCGGGAGGGATCATCGCCAGGGTGGGACGGGGGTGGAATTGTCCAGTCACGTGACAAACATAGATCTTCCGTTCCTCAACCCATATTATTTCCACAGTCATTGTCATTAATCACAAATTACGGGATGATATACGAAAATGCCGGTTTACTTTGAAATAGTGCAAATGATACTTTTCCATCTACAATCATCAGATCAAAGGATGCAAGTTCTTACACAGTGCAGCATAATTTGTGCAACAGAAGAAATCTCGAATATCGATTGTCTGAAAAAACATTTTCTCGGGGACACTTTTTTCCGAATACGCATTCGATGTAAGTCTTCAGCCACCAGGAAGTGGTTAACATAGTAATGTTTTATTACGATAGTAGTACATAAAACAAATTGGTTGCCTGAGGTTCTCGGGGGGGGGGGAAGTAGCCTCATCGGCTAGAGTCCTCTATTTCACAAACAAAAACAACAATTGCTTCCTTGAAAATTTATCGATCAACCCTTTTCACAGACGTCCAGCTTACCACTTCCCGTCAATGCAGTAAGATAGAATATGTAGTTTTTTCATGGACAATTAGGCGAAAGTTGGGGTTTTCTCAAGGAAAACTGGTCAACAAGTTGGGGAAAAAAGCTCGAAAAGTAATCCAGAAAAAAATCCTGTATGCGGCCCTCGGAATATGATGGAATATGTTGAATATTATTATGGTTTAAGTGATTATATTTGACCCTGGAATGACAGTAAGCTCAGAAACAAGTAGATTGTTAGCCCTTCCAACGAGATGGAAAGCTCTTGGACAGGATAGACACTTTTCAGATTACAGCCTGTCCGAGAATTGCGTGGCGTCCATTTCGTTTAGTGATTAGGACACATAGCGGTTAAACCTGGAACTTCAACTCGAACTATTCAGATATTTATTAACTCGCTTTTGATGATACTTGCTGTTTTATGATGCGATTTTTTGTTACCTAGAGAGGAGTTGGCCTAGCCGTGCCTTCCACTAATTCGTACCACCCTGATGCCAGCGTTACTGGTAAGAATCAGGAGACCGGCGCAACCAGCATATAATGGGGCCCTCCGAGGGCAGTGTTTAATCTACTGAAATACTGAAACACTGAAATCTACTGAAATTTACTGAAATTTATTGAAAACTAAAATTAAAATACAAAATAAAATATGGTCAATGATGGAGGTAGACTGATTGCGTCTTTTAAAACATTCAAAACATAATAGGCATCAACAAAATTTTGGAGAGAAAAAATCGGAATTTTTTTTTTTTTTTTTGGGGGGGGGGGGCTATTTGTAAAACGAACATCGTAATGACCTTGACCTTCCTTCATCGGCACTCTCTTGGTCCAAAACCGCACACAGAGGACCCAGGCTCCGGGTTACCCGGTGTTTTCCGGTTGTTTTCCGGTGTTTTCCGGTATATAGTATGGCCCAGTAATGACCTGAAACTTCGCATTTTTAAAGTTGAGCTAAAAAACATGCGATGATACAAAATGATGATGCTTGGGGGGTTGATGAGGTTGGTAAACTTTACTTCATTTTTGTAATGATGATAATTATGCGGAAAATTGACATAAATCAATCGAGAAGAAAAAAACTTACCGCCAAATCATACACCATTTTGTAGTTACGATTATCCAGATTACCACGAAAACATCATAAAGACAATCGCGTCTACAATTATACAGGTGGAATTTCCTGTATGACAGCCAACGATAACAGACGGGGGTTTGTCCGTTTTCAGAAAAAAAAACACATTTTTAAAAATACAATATTTACTGAAAAATGTGTTGGTTGAAGATTCGACGTCTATTTGTGTTCAGCAATATTTTATTTTGTTCAAGATTCACCTTTGGCATGTTTTTTTCTCACCAAAGATTCACAACTCTTTCACATTTAGCTGGCTATTTTGACGTCAAGATTAATAGCCGTCGATGCTTGAGGGAGGGTAGTTCAAGATGCCTATTGACCGGTGCATTAACAAAAGCATATCATCTTTTTTTCATCGGCTTTTCATATTTTCAACCCAAATGTCTATATTAATGAACCAAATATTTCTGTTGCTAGAGTTGAAAAGTCCAGAACAAATATAGTATTTAGTGTAAATGACTTTTATTATTCTAGATTTTACAATATCATATTATAACAAATGTATATACAAATTCTACCATCTATTCTTTATAAACATACACTGTATTCATAAAAAAATCAGTTTTGAAATCCTCAGGATGCTTCGATAGAAAATAGTTCTCCATCTCTTTGTACACTAGATCACAAATCTGAGATTTCTCTTTGGAACTTCTGTCCTCGTTTAATGAACCATCAAATGTATTGTAAGAGAAGACTCTTGTGATTTTCGTAATATATCTAGCAAACATTGCTCTGTCATCGATTCCTGCAAAACAATATTAGTCTGCACTGAAAGGGGAGACGAGGTTGTTCAGTGAATAAGACGGTGGGGTCCCTGTTGGATCCAGATGTTAGCTAGAAAGCTTTATCGGAATTTTCCGGCATGGTTTCCCCTTATCCGGGGTGCAGGACGGGGGCGTGGCAAGCGACAGGGCAAAGGACATCGTATCGTCGTTCGAATGGGACGAAAACCGAAGTCCCGTGAACGTAAAAGAACCTTGGCAGTGAGAGTTCAAATTAAGAGTAGGCCGTAGTGTCCCATAGCTCATTGTTATCCCTGCCCGGTTATCTATGGGATATAAACAGATATGTTAAGTTTCATCAAAATCGGATCAAAATCATGACCTCTATAGGGTCCACAACCTTGATATACCATACATTTAGACTATTTGCTTATGAGGAGCGGCGATTTCTTCGGACAGTTTCTGTCCAATGTCGTACTCAATCAGTGACATATTTGAACGTTTTTTTAAATCAGATATAAATTGTGACCTCTAGCGGGACCACAAGCTAAAAACGGGATTTCCGTACAACCAGAGGCTATATCCAGGAAGAAGCGGTCCGATATGCGCGAGTATCGACATACATTATATACATACATTTCAAGTTTTATCTACATAGGATAAAAATAATGACCTTTAGAGTGTCCACAAGCCAAAAACGTGATTTTTCGTACAATCAGGGAATCCATGACGTTTCGCTACATGCCAATATCGAAAGTAACCGAGATATTTTGGAGATAAACCTATATTTCAAGTTTCGTCAAAATCGGATAGAATTGTTACCTGTATATGAATCTTAGTATAATTGTGTTATGGGTGGACGGACGGACAAGGAGCGACGACATAATGCGTCCGCATGAAAATGTGGGCGTATAAAATTGATCTATGGATGAGATACGGGGATTTTGAGGTGATGCTTTCTGAATTCGAGTGCCTTTGATCAGAAGAGAGGGCACGTTTTCGGAAGGGAGTAGATATAGCATGGGAGTCACGGTGGCTAAGTGGGTAATACGCTGGCTCACTAGCCTGGAGGTCACGTGTTCGATCAATGCATTGGCCGAGAAGGTACAACGGGATTTTCCGACAGGGTTTCCCTTTGTCGGAGGGACTGACAGGGACAGCTGTTTAGTCATTCGAATGGGACGAAAAGCGAGGCGCCGTGTACACATTGACGTTCATATAAAAGATCCCTTGACAGATGGAATTCGATATACGAGTAGGCCATAGTGCCGCTGCCCGGACAAAATTTCCTTCATAGCACACTGTATGGCGTATTCCCATCTTCATTAAACACTATTTAGAACAGTTTAAAGTCAAAAAGAGTAGCATGTATATGGTGATCTCTTGTAATCTCTCCATGACCGACCCTGCATAGCGTATTTTCTGTTATATGTTTTATGATGGCATATAGTAGTACATTAAAAAGTGTTAGATTTCGAGGTTGTGCACGACAAGGAGTTGGGTCAGTTGTCTAATCTCGTGTTTTCGCAGGTTTCCACTAATGTAAAAAAATCACTATGCGCATGCAGACGAAAGATAAAACTGTACTCATTAGCCCAGTAGGATCAGAACAGTAGGAAGTTAAAACCCAATTTATTTCATTTCTGAAGGAAATAAAGGTATACCTCGTTTTAATCCCGATCTAATCCCACTGTGTAGAGGAGATGTTAAAACCCTTTTATTACAACTATGACGATTACTAAATAACAATTACATTGACAGCGGGGAGTAGGCCATCTTGAACGGCAGCCAGGGTGATGTTAAAACATACCGATGATGATAATTACCTTTTTCTAAATGTTCTCTCCATTCCGTGATAAAGAAGTCAGGGACAAAAGTAAATTTAACGTCATCAAATCTCAAACCAGCCTTCCTTAATTCTTCAGAGTTAAACGGTTCCTGTAACTCACGTGCGTTTCTAAAACATGCAGCAAAAGAACATCGTCTGTATTCTTCCTGAAACAAATGAACACTGCCTGTATTCTTACTGAAACAAATGAGCACTTCCTGTATTCTTACTGAAACAAATGAGCAACGACTGTATTCTGTATTGACCCACCGATGTAACCATTCCAACAGCAATTGTCATATGATTAACAGCCGGTATGTATGGATTTCAAGACTGATATTGTAAAACTGGATTAACATTATTTACCTTAGTTATCAGGCCCTTTGAAACGAAAGCTTTCCAGATGTCATCCATACTAGCAAATACATCGTGAAGACCCATCATGGCTGGTTTATCTGGTGTAGCTTCCGTCTCTCCTAGTGTTGAGAAAACTCCCCAACCACCTGTATTATAGATCAAACTAGTATTGTATGGATTGCAAATTATTATCTGATAATGAAAACAAAATCTATTTACATTCACAGTATACCACAAGAAAAGTTTTAGTTACACAATATAAAAAATCATAGACGTTATTATACAAAATTCATTATATTCATTGTTATTGTTGAAAGATACAGAATTATGGACAGATTATTATATCCCAAAAACTAATACCTTGTTTTAGTTCTTTTGCTCTGTGTTTGAGGAACACCAACCAATCATCGGCTGCTTGTTTTGTAATGGCCTCCCTTTCGTCCTGATTTCCAGGAAAGAATCGATAAACATGGTCGGACAAAGGAAGTGGTCTGGAGATATGAAAATAAATAGACATATCTTTATAAACTAAAAAAAAGAAAATCATTAGGATCAAATTAATTTCTTTGGTCCCAGTTGTCATAACCGGCAAGGTAAAATTACTTCTAGTCTTTTGCCTTCGCCTACCGGTTATAGACTCCCTGCATTATATATACATCTATAAATCGACACATTGCTTGTGTATAGCAATATTACACAGAGAGCGTACAAAAAATATTTCGAGCAATATTGTTAAGATAGGAAATGTGTGTATCAATAGTACACAGAGGTTAAACATCACCTACTTTGATAAGTAATGTGTAGCAAAAAAAGCCAATGCAAGATCAATTGAGCTACTGGGGAAACATTGGTTAAAGAAACTGGTACCGGAGGTCGTTACAAGCACATTATCGTAGTCCAATAGATATGGTCGGGGTTTAGGTATAATTCCTGGAAAAGATTTCATTTTTGACCTCGTTATCAAATATATATACAAATCAAAAATGGCGAACTCTTTTGGGCTGGATGATATCCTAATTGAGAATCAGTGTCTTGAATACTGGTACAAACTAATGCACCTGACACTTGTATAGTTTATTACTGATTCAGTTCGGTTAGCATCTTCCCTAAGGGTTTAGAGCAGTTTAATGTAGAACCCTTTACGGTCCGGGCTCACCATAAACCCATTGAGAACATTTCTTGTCTTCCGTGATGATAAGATTACCAACAGGTCACGAACTCGATCATAATAGTTGCTTACACTGTACAGTTTACGGATGAATGTTACAAACCCACCGTTAAACTTAATTCATACTTTTACAACTGCCCGGGCAAAATTTGCCTCATAGCACACTGTATGGCGTATGCCCGTCTTCATTAAACCCTATTTAGAACAGTTTAAAGACATCTAATAAAACATTAAAGAAAGCATTAACATACAATAAAACTTATAAAACCAGCTTTATAAAAGGTAATTAATATAAAAATTGATTTTTAAAAATATAAGTTTTCAGATTTGATTTAAAAAGAGGAAGTTTCGTATAAGATCTCAAATCTAATGGTAGTCTATCCCACAGTTTAGGCGCGCCACACATAGGCACGATCACCATACTGTTGGGACGTTTTCTTCCCATGTACTTTAAAAGACAAGGGCAACAGCTTCACTTCAGTGCTACTCCTAGTACGATATGCTGGTTTACAAACTTTAATAATGTCAGTGAGGTAGCGAGGAGCTGACTAATCATGGCGTATAACTTTAAAAATAACTAGATCTGCTAAGCAGATATTAAAGCTTTCATATTCACAATCACTTCCTGTCACATGTCAAGAGTCATATAAAGAATCTCAACAAGATAAAAAAAACCAATTAAAATCGGTCAAAAACTCGCGAAGTTAATGCGATTTTTCACTCGTAAACAACTCTGTCGGCACGAAAAACGTCAAAGGCAAAATTCGAAATTGTGACATTTTCAAATACCATAAATTGAAGCCTAATCTCGGCTGTCCAGAAATGTATTCATTTTCGAAATAGGAGACGTATTCTCCAAACTACGGCCTATTGTTTCCATTTTCATTTCCGTTATCGTCGATTTTTCACTTTTTCTCATATTCAGTTCAAAATGGTGACCATCAATTGACCTAAATCAAAATTCTAATCCGATAGATTTTTAGGCATTCCTTCTATGATTCAGAAAATGTAACTCCCATGTCTAGCCGTAAATTGACGAACTGCAGGAACCGTGTCAAGAACAAACGACCTGAACGAATACAGGTATCGCCTTGAAATTTTTTCAGGGCACCTAGGTACCAAGGTGAAAAGTTCCTCGCCGGAATTTGGTACTCACGCTACATTTGGTTCCAGCGTAGCGCATGCACGAAGTCGAAAGCAGCTAAATACGTTATGGTCGATTTAAAAAAAAATAAAAAAAATGGTCCTATCTCTTCGAAACTTCGGCTACCCCCCAACCCCATTTCCGACCTCGGGGCATCCAAAAATGGTCTCGAACACCTAGTTCCATCTCTATTTTTTGTTTAACTTTATGTACCCTAGGGAAAATGGCCACCGCTTGCCCCCCATGGGTCGGGCCCTAAAATTTATTTTTGGGAATTGTGCTTTGGACCATAGGCCAGGTACCCGGTGAGTGTCAAGTTGGTGTGCAAGAAAGTAGGGATTTGACGCGCGCGCGTACACTCGAAAACATCCTTGTCGGCACGGAAAACATCAGAGGCGAATTTCGAATTTTTGAAATATTCAAATACCAAACATTCGACCATGAGCCGGGCTATCCTGAAATGTATTTTTCGATAATAGGAGACAGATTCTCTAAGCCACGACCAATTGTGTATGTTTTCAAACCCATTAATGTGGATTTTTCACTAATTTTCATTTTCACTTCAAAATGGCGTCCATTATTTGCCAGAAATCAAAATTCTAATTTCTACATTTTATGGGCTTTCCTTCAAGGATTCAGAAAATATAATTCCCTTGTCTGTAAGTAAAATATCAAAAAAGCCTTAGCGATATTTCACATTTCAAAATGGTGGCACTTCCCGATTGTGCTACAAACTCCATTGTTTGCGTACGAATCTGTAGTGTCGTGGCTAGTACAGAATTGTTTTTTAAAGGCAATCTGACCTATATTTCGTCGATTTTTTTGAAAACTTTGATCCTTAATTTCACCAAGGGGAGATAATTTAGAAAATTTCTAATGACATTTTTCAAGTCGCATCGGCAAGATCTACTTAAATACTAAATTTCATGAAAATCGTGCAACTATTAAAGAAGTTGTCAAGTTAATCTCAACATACGGTTCAAAATCACAGCGACGAATTTTCGAAATTCGAAAATCTGAAATTTCAGATTTGAAGTAAATGTTTCAAGGTATCCAAAGAAAAAAAAATAGTAAAATAGGTCAAATAGTTACAAAGTTACAGCAATGTAGATCAAATGAATTCATTCGTAAAATTCGATGATTTCGGATTCGAAAAACGCCATTTTGGGGGGGGGGGGGTAAGTCAAAGTTTCAGAAAGATCCTATGGTTAGATTCTGAGAAATCCGATTTGCAGCCAAGCAGCAGAATTCTGAATATTTTGTAATTTTGTAGATATGAAGACCATAGAACAGACTTTTACAATAGTCGAGCATTGATGTGATAAAACCATGCAGTAATTTCTCAGTAGTGGCTTGATCCAGAAGATGTTGGATTTTACCGACACGCTATAGTGAGTGAGACGACCTACTATATACACTATTGATCTGCTCATCAATGAGTCCCGCTGAGTCCATCATCACCTCCAGATCACAAACGGTTGCCGAATGAGATACAATGGCCTCACCAACACGCACACCAACCTCGACTACCCACAGACTGTTTGATGAGAACCGGGATATTTCAGTTTTATTGTCATTCAGTGCAAGCAAATTTGCTCGCATTCAATCACGGATCTCATCAACACAGCTCTCTATTCGGTCTACTGTGGCAGAGCCTGTTCGAGAATCACAGGCTATCTATATTTGGGAGTCATCAACATAGATGACAGCATTGAAACCACCGCGGGTAATGATGTCCTCAACTGGAGTTATGTACAATGGAAACAGAACCGGTCCAAGGACCGAGCCTCGGGGAACGCCAAATTCAAGGACCTGGTCATCCGACACCATCGACCGTACCGACACTATTAATATCCAATAAAACATTAAAGGGACCCACTACATATTTTATTGTACCAGACAGCGAGGATGACGATTATGGAAGAATTCACTTGATTTGTTATTTGTTGTTGATTTCTTGCAATGTGTGTGTAATTTGTTTTGTCTTCTCGTGTTTGTATTGTCGGGTTTGTTTTTTTCAGGTTTGTTTTGTGTGTAGTGTAGTCATCCTGCACTTACTAATACAGTACAGACAAAAGTTACAAAAACTTACCGACGCACTCTTTCCATACACATTGTAATTAACAGTTAGAAATGTATAATTTTAAAAGAAAAAAAAAGAAGAGATATATAACTATGGAGGATATATATTTTATGCGAAATGATTGAAAATTATTCACCTTTGTGCAAAAAAGGTACGAAATTACTAACCATGCATCCGTTTATATAATAAATTAAAATCATTAGTGGGTAGATCTTCATACATGATATGTATTTCTTTATCTGGATGACTCTTCTCTCGAATAAGACCTACAAATATAATAACATGTACTTTTATACCGGACAAAGTTAGAAGCTAGTATTCATGCTCCAGGCGCTACAACGTCTAGGTGTCGTAACAGGCCGGAAATCGGTAAGTTGTTAATCAGAGGTAACGAATTCCACAGAACAGGCACAATGTGAACAAATGATCTGAAACTAGAATATGGTGTTTCTTTTGATAAAAAGGTAGGGTACATGTCTAGAACAAAATGGTGATAAACTCTGACACGCCAGGTACACGAGGTTAAAATCTATTCTTGATTTAGTGAGTAGCCAATGAAGTTCTTTGAATGCTGGTGTGATATCCAAGTTCCTGGTTAAGCAGCTGATGATTCAAGATATAGTATTTTGAAATGTTTGGAGTTCTGATGTCTGTTAGTGGATATACGAGATAACAAACTACTTGACTAGTTTAGTTTTAGATATGGCCTGGGATGGCCAATGATTCTGATGGATGGCAAAAGCACTTTTATACGCCCGCGTATTGTCCACAATTTGTTTGACGATTAGCAAAAGCAGATTTTATAGATATAAATAATTTGAAGTGTCTGAATCGATGTACACACCAGGATTTTTAATTTTCTTGGCTGGTTTAATTACAGTGTCGACTAATGACAAAGTTGATATATCAGATTTGGATAGTGAGTACTTTGATACAACCATGATTGCTTCTGTGTTATCACCGTTTAGGCGACAAAATCACACGGCTATCTGACGTTCGATGAGAAGGATAACATTAAAACATCTAAGCCAGATCAAACCCCGAGGCCTTTTATTCGACCGAATTTTTGACCCATCCCCTATTTACCATTTTATATTTAAATGATCAACAGCAGTTTACCAAGAGGTGTTTTAAATCCTAGAAAAGGAAAACCATTACCATTTTGAAATAAATTACAACTGTCAAGGGTTCTTTTACGTGCACGTCTTTATGTACACGGTCCTCTGTTTTTCGTCCCACCCGAATGTGACCATTGGTTGTCCCGTACCGATAATGGCTGATCGAATCACCAGCTTACCTATAATATCTGTCATAAGTTCCATTGATATGGACCCATCAGCAGCTCCAAACTCAGCTACTGTAAATGGTTGATTTTTAGGATGAGATGTACTGAGCATTCTATCTAATAATAAGATTTATATTATATTTTATATTATACGATATACATAATATATATCAACCATGGAGGATCAGCGTGCGTTTGGTTTTCTTGTTTTCATAAATGTTACATGAAATTTTAGTGAAAAGCTTACGTGTACGTTCTCGCCCTGTTATTGGGCCCTAGGATTGAAATGCAAATATATATTGTCAAGTTACCCCCGCTAAATAACTTATTTACCCCGCCAGGTATTAGTTCACG